GGAGTCTGGATTAGGTAGCATTGCTTTTATTGATGGTGAGTACAAGCAGGTGTAAGTGGCTGCTCCCAGGACCCAGGGTGCTGGGCGGAAGGATCCCGGGAGGGAGGACCAAAGCTGGGCTGTGGATGCAGGATCCGCTCCTTATTTGGGCGTGAATGCTGCCTTCCGAGAGGAAGATTTATTTTGGGACTAAGCATAGGCACAGGGGAGGCAGGCACGCCAGCCATCAGGCCGCACTCTCTATTTGGAGCACGGCCAGCTGGGCAGCCCCAGGTCTCCCGGGATCTTGCTCGGTGTCCTGCGGAGGTTCTGACTCCAGCTTGGACTCCAGCGCAGGCAGGCCTTCTTCGGGTTGGCCATTAGCGCTCCCGCCAGGCCCGAGGCGGGGAGGCTTGACAGGCGTGGGCGCTGCAGGGCCTTTTCTGCCCGAAAGGGCCCTTCGCAGGCTCTGTACCTTCTCTAACCCCGTGCGCCGCAGCCGCCGCGCCCTGGACTCCACGGGCTCCTCATCCGAGCTCTCCACAACTTCAGCCTCCAGCTGCTCTGGGCCGGGCTCAGACTGCTCCAGCGGGCCTAAGGGCTCCGGCGCCTTCTGGAAGGCTCTGGCTGGGATTTCAGCCTCCTCCTGCAGGTGATGGACACAGCACTGACCCGGCAGCCCCCTGCCCAGCACCAGCCTGCGCCTCACTCCTCCATTCTAGCAGGGGAGCCCGCCCCACCCTCAGTCCCCGCTGCCCGAGTGGGAAAGAAAAGGCAGGGGTGGGAAAGCAGGGGGCGGGGCGAACTGCAGAAGTTTGTTCAATAGGTGGGGGCGCGAAAGGAGGAGGATGGCCGCAGGGGCAAGAACAGGAGGAGGGGCGATGCGCTGTCTCGGGATGCCCTTCCACCACCGTTATTTTCGTTCAGGGATGGGGTGAGACTTGGAGCAAATTTCACGGACGTGTCCCGACTAGAGCTGGCCGGGTTTTGATTGGCCAGGCCCGTTCAGGCGTGGCGGAGCGGGGAGGGGCCGGGTGTGGGGAGCGGGTGCGGCTCTGGAAGTCTGTTCCCCAGGGCAGGGCCAGGAATGTGGGTGTGGTGGGCGGATGGGAGCGGGGAGCCCCCAGATGGTGGCCCGGAGGCGGGGAAAAGGCCCCGGATGGGGGGACGCCCGAGGTCA